CACCATTGAGCAGCAGAACTCCACTCGAATTCGTCAGAACACTAGAGACCACCCGTCCACGGCCAATACAGTGGACAGGACTAACCATCAGGTATGCAGCTTTCAGAATCGGGTATATCTACTGGGGATGACATAAAATCATAGAGCTTTGTACCAATTAAAGATTTTAATCCATTAGATCAGGAACTTGGAGATTGAGGTAGAGGGAGGGGGGAATTGTGATCATTGTGTCAAAGAGGTGCTTCTTTATATAAACTGAGCTCTCTATATTTGTATGTATTCATTTAGGTACAAAGATATGCCAACTAGAAATGTGCAAACCCTCTAAAAATCTCTATCTTCACAGCCTTTTTTTTCTTTGCAAAATTAATGACTTAGCACATTTTGGGAGTGATCCTGGCCTAGAATTTTTCTTGTTTCCCCCAGCAATGTTATGTATTTCATGCATATTGTTCCAACATTCCTGTCACTTCTCAAAAGCCAGCTCTGCTTTGGTTCTGTGGTTAAACAGAAAGGGCCAGCACGTTGCTGACTTTGGTGATGGGTACAAGATGTTCTTAGCAAATCAGTGTCACAGCCAAAGGAAAACAAAAATAGCCAACTTGAACTTTGTAGAGCCATTGGCTGGTAAATTTTTGCACCTGAACTCTAGAGCCAATATCAAACATAGTATTTACTAGAACTAAATTAGTTTCCTAACAGTCATCATATCAGTTGGGGTTAATACCATGAGAAGTGACAATTTGTTGGAAGATGTATTCCTATGTGCAGAAGAGTATAGACGGGGGCCTGCATGAAAGAGTCAAGATTTACACACAATAGTAAAATTACATGAGAAATCAAAAAGGAGAAGTAAAAAAAATCTGTCTCAAAGTTAATATTGCCTTGTTAAAAAGTCACTGGTTTGCAAAATTTGGAGCCTGACCTGTAAAGTAAATCAAACATACCACTTAATTGTTAATATGAGCTTCAGCAAATTTTCAAACAATGGGGCCAGTATCCAAAAATCACAGCCTGTGTAATTTAAAACACAGAACTCAAAGTCAAACTTCCTGTGAAGTAAATTCTTGATTCCGAACCTTAGATAAAGGTCCTAGATCAGAGGGTAAGCCAGTGGGGACAGCTGGCTCCATAAAAATGACTAAGAAGTGACGTGGAGGAGCCAGAGGGAGAGGTAGCTACAGATTGCAGCGGCCTTCTCTTCACCATGCCACTTCACTGCCCCCTGCTCCCCCCACTACCGCCCCCAGCCTCGCCCAGACTCACCCTTTCTAATGGACCACAGGACTAATGCAATGTGGCCCAATGTGGGCACTAGCCCTCATGACCCTGGTATGAAGTAATGCTAAAATGAACACAGGAAACTTGCACCCCCTGGAGAGTATGAGGTAATGATGGCAGGCCCACTTCCAACCAAAGGGAAATTACCTTATTATGTCTCACTTCCAAATCCATTTCAGAAATGAAAGCCAGAAAGAAATGTTTTCCTACCCTGCTTCTTTTCTCTGTTATTTTTCCACATCAAGACCTCTAAACCTGCTCCTTTTACTAAGCAGCTCTCGTTCTCAGCAGCTATCGAAAGCTTGTGAGTAACTTAAAGAGGGTAGGTATTTGGTTAGATTTTCTCTAACCTGAAGATAATATATGAAAGAATGCAATTTAGAAGTCACATTTCTAACCTAAGGTTAAAATATTTTGCACTGCAGTAAAATACTTCCATTGGAACACATGATGGCCATTATAACGTACTGGTTCTTGGTCATTCGGTGCCCACTCATATCTTCCTTCTCCTTACAGGCACTTTAGGGTATGGCTATTGGTAGTGTACCCTGGCCCCATGTCCCACCTGATCCTCTGAGCATCCTTCATTTGCCTTGCTCTCCTGGAAATATAGCTCCCAGCTGGTCTGCTGGAGTGCTTCTGAGTTCATCATGATTGTCCTTCAGATGCCCTTGAGAGTGCCCTTGACTCCCATCCAAATCCAACATTTTCAAATTAGTGTGCTTCTTACTTACACAGCCAGAGAGAGGAGAAAAGGACAGTAATCAGGGAAGCTCTGTTCTAAGTAACTAAAAGGTTTGCTTTAAAAATACATCCAATTAGGGCTTATCTTCATTGCTGCCTCTATAAAGCAGCATCAGTGTCAGATAACAGCAGAAACTCATTAGCCCTGGAACTGGCTGCTTTCCCAAAATGCCCACCTGGGAGAGCTGGGCAAAGAAGAGTGGCTGCCAGGAAAAGAGGGAAACACGCTCTGACATATTTGAAAATTAAGATAAATCAAAGACCCTTTTGCTAATCTCCACTAACATGATCGTTAGAATCAAGGCAGTTCCACACAGAAATGTGGAACAATACATCAATCTTTGGTGATAGGTTCAATAACATATCAAAATAATAACATTATTTGAAAGAAAAATCAGAGGCTTTATGTCTGTGTCTACATGACACAGTTGTTAGGTGTATGAACTCAGAATCTGACAAAAAAGTTGTGCGTGCACGCACATGTGTGTGTGTGTGTGTGTGTGTTTTAACATCATGAGCCATCATGCTAGGAAGCAAAGCTAGCTGTATTTGCATTAACTTTTTAGCTGCTTTCTTGAAGTTTGCATTGTTGTAGATGTTTATATCCTGCCTATGTATTTGTTTTCTCCGAGAAATATATCATACTATATATGTCACATGTCAAGCACATTAGTCAACTTCGTATTCTGCAGATCAGAGATCCAATATCAAACCTTCCCAGGGTGTCTGTATTCTGACAACTGTACACTGAGGCCTTGTCCATACAGCGCAAAGCGAAGTGGAGAGTTGGCAGTTATCAAGGTAATTTGATAGACCATCTGGGACAATTCTGTGCCCAAAATAAACTTTGATTCGCATTTATATCGTTAAGGGCTACTCAGTCAGCTTTTGCTGCATAACAAATCGTTCCAAAATTGAGTGGCTTATAGCAATCATGATTTAGTTTGCAAGTCTATGGGTATAGATCAGTAATTGGGGTTGCACTGGGCTGGACAGTTCTTCTAGTCTTAGCTGGGTTCCCTCTGTGGTCAGCAGCAGCGGCCTAGTCAGCTGTCACCTAGCTGATCTAGGATGACCCAGCAAGAATGGCTCTCTACACATGGATGCTTGTCTTCCAGCATGTCAGCTGAGCTTGTTTGAATGGTGGTCAAGGTTCTACAGTCAAGGAATGGAAAACACACTCCACCTGCTGATGGTAGGAGCTGCTGTCATGCTGTAAAGGGGTGTGGAGATGAGGAGGGCAGTAACTGTGGCCACTTTTGCTAACCATCTACAGGGGGCACATCCTGCATGGGACAGGCAAGCCATAGCTTCCTAAGGACATGAAGCGCATCTGCCTCCTTGTGCCTCCAGTATCTACATAGCACAGTGTCTGGCACATTACAGAGTAGTCCAAAAATACCTGTTGACTGAATAGAATGATCAGAGGGCTCATGATATTTCAGGAGATATGAAGGGTGGTGGGAATGACCCCTTCCTTGTGCAACTGATTGACCAACTAAAGGATTATGTATCACTCTGACGTTATTTCAGGCTCGCCTTCCAAAAACTAGAAAATCCTGAAAGGAGGGGTTCTTCATTTTCTCCTCTCTAGTGTTTAGTCTTGATCAGAAGCGATACTTTTCCAAAAACTTTCTTACACATGTGCTGTCTGATAATTTTTAACAAGTGCTATGATGAGGAGGCCAAGCACTGGACTTGGTGCCGTAAAACAAAACAAAACAAAACAAAAGGTCTCGTGTTCTTTTGTGCATTCCAAGGCTCGGCCACTGCTCCAGCTATCACATTCCATGCCTGATTTATGTTCTGCTTATCATCTTTATGGCTACTAGATTTTTGTTAAGTAGATTCAGACACAGGCATTGATTTTCCATGTGCTGTCAATGCAATTTAATTCCTCTGTGTACGTACCACCCTCCTGTTGTCATTATTGACTCCACTTGGCTTGTAAACACTCCCCCTATTTGTTCAGATTTATTCAGGTCCAAGTCAGATCTGAGATGTTGGCCACTCTAATCCACCTCCACTGCTCAGTTTCCATCCCAATTGAATTCCATAATATAATACATTTTCTGTTTTGATACCTAGATTATTTTTGTAAATATTTAATATTACATAGGAAAAGAAACAACTTCATTCGGTTAGTTCAATTTTCATTTGCAGTTTTATTTGTGTTAACTATCACCATTATCATAATGCTGTCTTACATTTGTATCACGGCGTAAGGTTAAAAAGTGTTTTCATGTGCACTACCCCATCAGCTTCCTATAACACCCCTGGTGGGAAATCATGGGGAAAATAATGCTCAGAGAGGTTAAATGATCGAGAAGATCAAACCCCCAGTAAGAGACAGACCCCAGATAAACCTCCAGGCTTCTAATAAGAACCCAAAGCTTTCCTCTCCATTCCCACACAATGCCACTTTGCACTCAAATATAATTGTATGGTCTCAGCCAGAGGCTCTCAAGCTTTATGATGAGTTCCAGAAAATGTAAGTTCTGGGGAACTTTTCAAAGATGTTCTGGTTCACTGGGTCAAAGTAGGGTCCAAGAATCTGCATTTGAGTAAAACACTAAACTGAAAACTCTGATGTAAACTATAGCTTCATCCCAACACTGCTGACGTCACTGCTTTGTCTAACCTGAGTAACCATTTTTGTCAAGCTGATTGATAGGAAGTTTTTTCACCAAATGAACCTTGTGTTTAGCAAAGTAATGTGGTTAGTTATTATTGGACAAACCTTAACTTTTCTAATATATCTGTCCGTGAGTCTCATAGGAGAAAGTGATACGACAGTGATAAAGCTAATATTATGGTGCCTCCTGCTAACTCCTTTCATTGATAGGGCAAGTCCATTCCTAAACCCTCTGGTCACCATTTTTAAAGCACTTTCTTCACATGTTAATCAAAGTAGCAGGTCAAGAAATTAGGAGACGCTTTGCATTTGTACTAAGTATAAAAATGTATAATGACCAGCAAAACTAAAAACAGAAGCCTAATTTTTTTAAATCAACCACATCACTCTCAAAAGCTGGATCTTGATTTCTTTACAAGACATCTGTGGAG